GCCCAAAGTTATCAGCAGCACAGAGCTGCTTGCTCAGGAGTCGTTTCAGCTTCCCACACAGAAAGGGTCAGTGCCTGGTTTTAATTACGGGCAAGGCCATGGACACTGCAGTGAATACAGCCACTCGCCCCCTCCCAGTTCCAGACACAAATGCTCCATTCCCCAAATTACTGCTGACTGGGCTGGGATTGGGTTTTATTGCAGACAAGCAAGCCAGTTCTTTGAGGGTGAGGTTAATTCAAGCAGCCCCGTGTCGAGCCTTATCCTGCAAATGGTTAAAGGCTTAACCATGCCTGCAAAAATTAGTCAAGTGCAAAGTTACCTTCCTAAGGGCTTGTGGGACTGAGGCTGCAGCCCCCTTTTCTCCCCTAGTTTCCCTAGTCCTTTTCCCTGATGGGGGAAGAAAAAAAAAATAAAATCTGGCTATGACTTGTCCCGTTTTCCTTTTAAATATAAAACCAAACTCAGGCTGTCTAAAAAATTGTGCTGTCTTCGTTTGTGGAATTAATTCAAACATCAAGATTCTATTAATTGGAGAAAACAGTAGATTTGTCCCAAAGTGGCAAACCTCACCATATCAAAAGAACTCCAAATATTAAAATTAAAAGTCTGCTCCTACTGCCTGGCCAGCCAACAGACCCTAGGAAAACCAGCATGCACACTAGGAAAGAAATCAGTGTGTTAAACGTCTGTTATCCAAAACTTCTGATCTTTCTTAGCTGCTGGTTTAGGAATCCAAATTCTACTGCATTAAGAAGAAAAAGGGAATAGATATTTTTATTTAAAACAGAGTAACTCAAAGTGGCCATAATAACCCATTTGTGTTGCTTTTGTACTTGGGTAATGAACGACTGGAGTATAAAGTGCTCCTAGTTTTTGCCTCGAGGTCTTGTCAACCATTACCTGATAAATAAAAACTTCAAACAGGCTCCTTTTGGCTTAATTGGGCAGAATTTCTCTCCAAAGGAACGGCTGAATGCAGAGAATAATGTGTTCGTGGCAGCCATGGAAGTCAGCAAGCAGGGTATTTAGATGGGGACACAGAGGGTGCAAATTCTGAACTCAAAAGATGAGTCTTTTTATCCAGAAAGTGTCTGTTCCCACTGCAGGCGGAGCTGAAAGGATTGAATAGAGCAGCAGAGGAAATCCCGCGGTCCTTGGCAGCGCCGCTGAGCTGCGCTTGTGCGAGCTCTGCTCTCCCTCTCTGGTTTTAGGCTTTACAGCTGACACTTCCATAAAAACCAGAAATCTTAAAATTACACTAAGGCTTACTTAAATCATTATCTTTTTATTACATGAACATTGGCAGCGGCAGTTTCCTGCACGGGGACGAAAGGATCCTATTGTCAGTACTGGAACAGATCTAAAACAGCTCAATTAAGCAAACATAACATCCTCAACGTTTGGCCTGAAAGGAAGTTAAAATAACCGATCTATAAAATGTTTTAAATGTGCTTTAAAATGTCATTACTCAGATAAATCTAGCAGTTTTGAAGCTGGTTCACTAGTTTTATGGCCCTGCCAGTTTATGGCAGCGTACGTGTTCGTGTCAAGAGTTCTTCTTCCAGAACAGTAGATGAGGAGACAAAGCCACAGTAGCGCTGTGGACCGAGGGGAGGCTGCAACCAGCTCGGGAACGGAGTTTTGGCTCCCAGGCTGGGAAAGCTGCTACGAAGCACATCCAGCAAGTCGTGTGTGTTTGTGGCAGGGCTGGAAACCAACCGATATTTCATGCTATAAGGCTCGACGTGTTGAAGTTAGTGGTAAAGCTTCTGTTGGCTGCAAGACTGGCACTGTAAAGCAGGATGATTTTTCTTTTCTTTTTTTTTCTTTCCCCTCCCCTCGCTGGAACCACCTCTGACTTACACTGGGTCTAAATGCAGAGAATTGGGACCATGCTGAGAAATACCAGAGGGTCCTCCCAAAATTAGTCTAGGCATACAAAAGCCAAGTAGGCATCGGTTTAGGTTGATAAAGGTCTTTCCACTGATGCTTTGCTGGACTTCCCATCGGTGCACAAGGCAAATTTACTTATGAATTTGTAATCGCTTGTGAAAGATGAGAGTTTAACTGCAAAATGCTGATGATTTAAGCTTCTGGATCAGCAAATGCATCTACGTAAACTGGCACAACTCTGCACAGAGTTCAAAGTAAACAAGAACCTCAAAATTGCTGTTATGCCCTGAAGATACAATGTTTAGTTAACACAGGGATTTAGACCTTTTTTTTTTCCTTTTTTTTTTTTTTCAGCTGCCTCCATAGGAATGCGGTGTGGTATCCACAGTAGGAAACCTCATGCCAGCAGCATCTCTGAAATATGCTAAAACAATCTAAATGAGAAAATGTCAGCTTCTTGGCTGATGTTCCTTTGGAGTTCCTCTTTTCCTTTCTTGTGCCTCTATAATTTTATTGGGATGACTAAATCTCTGAACTATGTTAGCAGTAAACAGAACTAATTTACCCCCTGCTTCTTTGAAACAGCTGCTGACAGCTGCACTATAATTCAATCATGGATCTTTGCAGTGCAGTCTGCAAAACATATTCATATTTTTTTGTATTCTTCCTTCTCTGTTGTATTTGGACTGAAGGAGTCGCACCAAATAGCGACATGTGCCGATTTTGCCTGTACATAGAGATTGATCTACATGAAAGCGGAGGCTCAAGATGAAATATTGCCCGGCCAAAAAGGTTCTTTGAATATAGGGAGAATAACCACGCAGATACACAACATTGTTGGGATATCTTTTGTAAAGTTGTAATGATTTATTTTACTAGGTTGTACAAAAGGCTTCTGACAACTGCTCTATGAAAAGAACCAGAAATGTGTATGCATTTTTGCCAACTGTTAATAAATATCTTCTTAAATAAGGAAACAAATGTGTTTAGGAACCGAGAATCATTTTTCCTGGATGTGATTGAAAAGGAATTCAGAGATGGAAATAAATAATTCTTCTTCCACTTGTGACAACTATTTACATAAAAAATGTACAAACAGTGAAGCTGATGTTGAGCCTAGCAACAGAAATCCTGTTAGTATGTTTAAAAAAAACCAAACCCAAACAACTAAAACAAAACAGAAACAATCCCCACATAATATTTAATATATGAATCCTATACAGCAAGATACTGTGGTCCAAGTTAAAAATGCAATACACCAACGCAGTGACCACCAACACTGAAACACCTGCAAGAAATACTAATTCTTGACTACTAAATAGTGGAAGTTTAGGCATGATTAGCTTTTTAACTCTCTAGGCAGCACCTTAACTTCCTTTAGGAGGTTTACAGAAGCATGGTGTATATACGTATACAATGTTAAGAGACACCTCCAACCTGTGCGATTTCAATACCTCACCCTAAATAAGAGGTGCGCTGAGGGCAGTTTTGGCTGTTTATCATAGATGCTCTTGTCTGCAGGCTCCAGGGAGAGACGGTCTGTTGGCTTCAGCTGTGGTCCTGCCATTTGGCTGTCTGTAACTATTTGGCCAAAGTCACACCTTGGGGCAGTTTGGAAGTTTGCTGGAGTCGTGCTTGCAGAGCGTGTGTGCCGCGGCCAGGCTGGTCCTGAAGGTGTTTGAGTCACCGGGGTTGGAAGCTGGGCACATCTGGCAGCGCCGCAACTGCTCACCGAGGCCCTGGTCCAAAACCTGTCCGTGTCATGGAGAGACTTCCACTTTCCCGTGAGCCTAATCCCGCTACTGGGAAAACACCAATTGACTTAAGATCAGAATTAGACCATCAGAAACAAGTTCCCAATTTATTTCATAGACAGTAACTTTTTTTCTTCCTTTGCTTATTCTTTTTAAAGCAAGGCATCTGGTCTGGATTTGATCTGTGACTTAAAGGAAGAAGAGCAGTGACTGATTTCCAGAATCGGGCGGTTGCGTTCATTTATCTTCCTTCTCTAACTCTCCTCTAAGGCAAGATGTGGAGCCAAGTTCCCACTGCGGCTGCATCGCCCTGTCCGCTCATTGCGCAGAGAGAACCATCTTCAGGGATTTATTATGTTCTGGACTCATCTGTTGGAGGTTAAGTTTTTTGAAGTTTGGAGATTTAGAGCTGGGTGTGCTGAGGACCTGGTGTTTTATTGGGCATTATTTTCTTTTTTATCTCCCTGCTGAAATTTATGCCAATCCTACTCCGGTAATCGCAACGTGTGCCAAAGTGTTGAATCAGATTGCGATTGGTTACTGCTACTTTGTATTCTTATCCACAACAACTTTAAATGAGTTTTAATTACATAAGCGTGATGTTTGTGTAACCTGTGACTTTAAAAGAAGGAAAAAGAAAAGCCTTGAGGGGATGTTTTCTTGCTCCTGGTTCCTGTTTGTTGCTGTGGCTCTTGAAAGGGAATTATTTTTTTATTTTTTTTTAAAAAAGTGAAGCTAATAACAGAGCAGGGGTTTTATGGTAAACGCTGACTCTGGGAAGCGAGGTTTCCTAGCTTGTTTCTAGCTGAATCTGTGTGGTGCTGGGGGTCTGTCCCAGCTTACGGCACCTTCTGCGCTTGAGCCTCCACATTTCTGCAAAAGCGTTGGGACTTGTTCTGTCAGTGAAGTCAATGGACATTTTCCAAACAGGAGCAGGATCTTCAGCTGGCTTTCACAACGCCGTAGCTGCTTGGGATACCCAGCTAGATGTTAGGTTTGATCCCTGTTTCTTAACGTTCTGCTGCTTTCTTGTTTCAAGTTCATAGCAAATTCAAATTCTTTCTGGTTTCAAGAGGGAATTTCTTTCCCTGTTGACAAAAAAAGTATACCCCAAAAGTCTTGTTCTTTGGAAGTATTTTCTTCAGTTATTTTTCTTGCCAATTAGGTTTGCTTTTTTTCCTTAGACTAATCTGTCCTTTGAAGATGCGTCAATCCAGATACAGCTTTTGCTACTGTAGTTTAAAACTGAAAGTTGCATGTAATTGATCTTTGCTTTTGCTTATGAAATTGAAGCAAACGAGGGATGGAGGTAATAATTCTCTAACAAAATACCTGTTCACTCCAGGTATATTTTGTTCACTTATTTTATTGCAAACTGTATTACAGGAACTACACATGCTTATTAGTCACAGCACATTCTCACCTTGGATAGATTATTATTTTTTAACTCACAGTCAACACTAGTGAGTTTGCAATCTTCAGAAAGACTTATTTGTAAAAGTATGTATTGTAGGAGCCAATTTTGTAGGCAGATTTGGTTTTAAATGGTTTCTCTGGCTTGTTTCAGTTTACAAGCTCATTGTCTGTAATAAACTAAAACAAAATGTGTTCAAATGCCACTTAGATCCAGAAACTGTTCCATTGTCTGAACTTTCAGAAGCCCAGTCCTAAAAACTGTTTGGGATTTTTTAAAACCCATTGCTGGAGTGCTAACCTTTTCCCCTCCCCCATATAGCCATACAAAACCAGTCTTTACAAATAACTTTTTTTTTTTTTTTGTCTTTCCTACCGATCTAATGACAGCCACATGCTCGTACCACCATGTTCCTGTATTTTTTTAAGATAACATTGGAGCTGTCATCAAAATAGAGCACTGAGATGGCATTCAGTTGTGTTGGAGCACAGCAGGGTTTCGGCACAGTCTCTGGGTTTATAAAGTGAACCTGGGGAACGAAAGTAGATGTATGTTAAGATTTACTTTTCCCTTTTCCTCCCCCGTATTTTTCTTTCCCAGGCAACCTTCTGTCTGTCCCATCCACTCACTCAGACATGTTTTGAACACCTGGCTTTGTGTACAAATGTCTTGAGATGTCCCCTGCCTGTACGGAGGCTGACGCACGCACCCAAGTCAGATCTAGTTGGAAATCTTTCAGTGAGGCAGGTTTTCATTAGAAAACCCCCATTTGTCAGAGCCGTCAGTGTTCTGCAGAAGTGTACCAGTTACGATAAACTCTGTGGGATGTGCAGGCGAGGTTTTGTGAGAAACCCCGTGAGGCCGGGGTGGGGGCCCGGTCCCCGCGGCTGGCAGCACCGGGACCCAGCCGGGGCCAAGGGCTCTCGGTCCCCTGTGCTCCCTGCTGCGGGACCTCTGAGGAGAGAGGGGGAAAAAGCAATCTACCAGGAAAAAACCATGCAGATATTTCGTCCCTTGGAAATGTAGACGCTTCTAGTTTCCTTAATACTCTTTGCAATGTTGTTCTTAGATGTGCACAGGACATGGGATGTAGATGAAAGTCACAGAATCACAGGATGGTCAGGGTTGGAAAGGACCTCTGGAGATCATCTAGTCCAACCCCCCCGCCAGAGCAGGGTCACCTACAACAGGTTGCACGGGACGGTGTCCAGGTGGGTTTGGAATGTCTCCAGAGTGGGAGACTCTACCACCTCTCTGGGCAGCCTGTGCCAGTGCTCCACTACCCTCAAAGTAAAGAAGTTCCTCCTCATGTTAAGGTGGAACTTCCTCTGTTCAAGTTTGTGCCTATTACCCCTCGTCCTATCACTGGGCACCACTGAAAAAAGACTGCTCCCATCCCCCTGGCACCCTCCCTTTAAGTATTTGTAAGCATTAATAAGATCCCCCCTCGATCTTCTTTTCTCTAGACTAAAGAGACCAAAGTCCCTCAGCCTTTCCTCAATATGAGAGATGTTCTAATCCCCTAATCATCTTTGTAGCCCTTTGCTGGACCCTCTCTAGCAGATCCCTGTCTTTCTTGAACTGGGGAGCCCAGAACTGGACACAAAGAAGGTGGAGTGAGCCTCCTTGTGCCCTGCCCATGTGTGCAGGGAGCCTGGGCTGGACCTGAGCTGGGAAGGGGAGGGCATCCAGGCAGGTCAGCTGAGGGTGCTGCACAGCCGGGGTACTCGGAAACTAGTGTGTCTTCCGGCCCATGCCAAGAGCTGGGGTGCGTTGGCTTTGGTGACACAGCTGGGGCTGGGTGGCCCCCGGCCAACAGTCTCCCTGCGCACAGGCGCCGTGTCATGAGGACACGCCAGCTCGGGGCTCCCATCTGGACATCTTTGCACAACAATTTCATAACACAAATACACCCACAGAGCAGCTGGGCTGTGTAATTTTGAGATTCACTGACCCCTTCCTCAGTCTGCCCCCAAATCCGCTTTTGGCGGCAGCCCACAGTGGGTCCGTATGGAGTTTTTTCCAAGAGATGCTGACAGTGGGTCTCACATCCCGCTCTTTCCTTCCCGTGCGGTGGGACTACCACCATTAAGATGTCTATCACAGGGCCCTTTGAAACTACAGAGAGCATGTCAATGCTTGCAGCAAAGACAGGGTAATTCCTAGCCAACTATTAATTCAGGCCACTTGGCGAGACATGTTTAGCCAGATGCTGCAGGCATCTTGATGAGCTAATGCAGACCTTCCTTCCCTTGCTAGCTTAGGGATTTTTTCTTTTCTGTAGAAACTTATTTCTGAGTAGCATCTATCAGAAATAACTCTGTACTGGGAGCTACAGGGCACCTACCAGTGTCTGCACAATGGCATGGTTTGTAGCATTCATGTACGAATTCAACGGGAAAGCACATTCTCCTTCACAGTAATATGCAGCATAGCCCTCCGGAGCGATGATCCAGTCCTTGATTAAATTGAAGATGTTAGATTGTGGGGAAAAGACAGAAATACGGTGCAGTGAAACAAAACATAGAACAGCATATAAATCTAACAATTCATACATCTACATACAATTACAGTACCCAGCAAAATAAAAATCTGGTACTCTGGCTTTTTTAATGCTATCTTAGACACCTCTTAAGCATCTGCTTTTCCTGGAGGGACACATCCCACTTTGCAAACATGCCCAGGACGTAGCTGGGTTTAGTTGTTTATCCATTCAGTAGCATCCTCCTGGCTGTGGATCACTTCACCCGTCGCTGAAATGCAGGTACGAGCTTTCAGAAATGAAAAATGTCTTTAACCAGGTATAAAAGAATCGACAGATGAAAATGGAGAGCCGTATGTGCATTCAGCACTGCCAGAGGAAATTCAGGGGACCACCGTTTCTCAAAAGGACCTAAGTGTGTAGAGTTTCTAGCCAGTCTCCTGCTAAATATTTGTGTACCCTAACTTTGCAGAAGCACTCCTTCACCTTTATGAAGCACTTCATAAAGGCAATATACAATTTTTCCCCCAGGGATAAAAAAAAAATAAAAAATAATCCAGTTATTGGCTTGTTTTCACTATTGCAGCTCAATAAGTGATGCGCAAAGGCACCCCACCGCACAGCACGGTCACGCACAGCCCTTACCTGCCACCCCAGGTCCCTGAAGCTGACGTAGAGCTCGTGCTTCTTGCAGGCTTGTCGCTGGTCGCTGCTGCTGTTCTCTGCAGGGGGGCAAAGGGGGTCGGTAAGGCTGGGCCGCCCCGGTGGCCCCAGCAATGCCCCAACCGGGAGTGAGGCATCACTGCTCATCTGCTGCACTTGTGGCTTTTTTTTTGGTTTGTTTTTAGAATGTTCCCAGTTTTAGTCGTAAAATAAGTACTGGGTTCAATAAATATGAAAAGCCCCTCTGGCCTTTTGTGCAAATCCAAAAAAAGCCTGGGAAAATAGCTTTTTTTCTTTGTTTTTTTTTCCTGGGCTTCCTTTTACCTCATATGAGCAAGAAAAGCAGATTTCTGATTATTGCCTATGATGTAAAATGAGAACCTGTGAAAGGAGTGATAGGGGAAGGCAGCATTTACCTATTTTCTAAATTTCTAACTGTCTTTGAATCACCTGCATTACTGGTGATAGTTGCACCTTTGGGCCTACAAAGGCAACGTATGACATGAAGATAATGCGGAATCTGTTCCTCTGTCCAGTGCAGCTCGATCCAGATTACAGAGTTGTGACAATGCTGAAGCCAAAGAACAAAGCACGAGTCTGAATCGTGGATCTGAACAACCATGACTGTCCATGCAGTTTTGAAGCTGTGTCCATCCTGGACGCACAGCCTGAGCTGGGCGCCCAAGCAGAAGTACCAGAAAATATTTTTCAACTCTTGTTGTTGGAAAATAACTCACCATGGGGTCCCCAGGCTGGAGGCAGGACAGTGATTACAGGGGCTTTCCTAACCTGCTCGCAGAAGTAAGAAATTCTTTTGTCCACGTACTTGAAAAATTGAATTGATACATCGAATAGATCATACCAATGCACAGCTAAACTGCAGACCAGCTGTGCTTGGGGAACTGCAAAACCCACAGCTCAGAGGCATAAGCCATGGAAAATCATTTTAAGAAACTCTAGGATTTTGGGTGAGACGTGCAGAAATACATGTATGTGGGCAGGTGAGAGAAGGCACACCTCTCACCAGGGCTGCAGAAAAACATCATTAATTCTAGGACAGGAATGACCCAATTAAATATTGGGAAGCTGCAGCAAGACTGATGGGAGAGAGTTCTCCCATAGCCTTGTAGGTAACCCCAAGCAACCCAAGGTGAAGGTGAGTCGTGTAAGACGATATTGTGCCCTACGTTGTTCTTTTCCTTTCACCTCTTGCAAGCTCTGCTTCCATTCCGTGAAGCACTTGTGGCAATAGAGCTGGAATTTGCCACTGCCCTCAGCGGAGCTGGCCCCACGCTGCGGTTCCTGCTGGGAAGGTCACCAAGGGCCCGTTATTCTGAGGTATCTCGTAATTAAGCCACGTTTCTATTTCAAATGCCTGATGGAATTTTCTTCCATATTAGGAAGCACAGCTCCCCCCAGAATAGCTGCGGTTATCCAGAGCAACGAATGGGTTTTCCTCTTCCACGCAAAACTTTTGGGACTACTAAACTTTTTGGGGGCTAAACTTAAAATCACAAACTCTGAAAATCTACAGTATTTTGATTCAGATCCACTGAAATATATTATTGTTTCAGTCACTTACTCATCGGTTTGATGTAATTGTCTTACATTTCATAATAAGAATTTATTTCATGTGGGAGAAAAGGAGATTTTCTTTTTTTTTTTTTTGTTTCTTATATTGGATTAAGAAATCCCTCAGTTTAACATTGTTTCAAAGAAACATTTTTGAATAATCCCTAATCTCAAGTAGTTTCAAACCAGCGAGAGAACACTAGTGGTAGACCAAGGAGACAACAAACAGGCTGAGTATGGGGGAAACCGTTCCCGTCTGGTGTCAAGTCCAGCAGACAGACCATTATCCCACACCCAGAAATACGGACTAAGCAACCCACGCTGTACCTGCAATGTTCGACACCCGGAAAGCTTCCTGGTTCTTTGGTGTTTTTGATCGATTCTGGCTCCTTTGCTTCCCTCCTGTGGAGCGAATACTGCGGAGATGGACCTCGGTGGCTTTGAAGAAGGCTACTGTGAAGGGCTGCTTGTTCTGCGGGCCGTGCCTTCCGATAAGACCCGCCAGTTTGGGATTGATGCTTTGCCCTTAATGACAGAACGGACTGATAAGAGGGCGGGCAGTAACTTTGCATTTTCAGCAGACACAGTAAGGATAAGGAGAGCTGCTCTCTGGCTGGTAAGGGTGGTTCCTAGGCACGTCTGGATGCGTCGATCCACCAAGGGCCTGGACTTAATCGGCAAAGCTGCTTCGGACCAGAGCAGCTCAGCACAGCTAACTTCATTTTATATCTGCGTGTAAAAGTTACATAAAATAGCCCTACCTATAATTATTTTACCCTAAATCCACTTAGCATTAACTTTTCCTGCATTCTTTAGAGGGGTTTCTTTAAGTTCACCAACCTATAATTTGAAGTGATCCTATAAAAGGAACCATAAAACTCAGCCCATAGGAACACTAAATTCCCACTGGAAGGTTATTAACTTAAAATGAAAATGCCTTGTATGAAACATTGACAGAGTTCCAGATACACTGTAGCTGAGAGAAATAAATAGTTCAGATGTTAAAAGACGTTTTGCTTATTGGTGTATCTCAGCACTACCAGACCTGATAACTTTGTTGCAAAACTGTTGATTACCATTCATGCTTCCTTCATACTGGGCTTTTAAAATAACTTGATTTTTACTAAAAGATGATAAACTGGTTTCTCTGTAGAATTAAAACAATTATCTACAAAAGGTGCAAGGAGGTGGTGGCAGTGGGAAATGTAACACTTCTCCCTTTTGCCTCCAAAGGATGTCTGGGTGCTGTTGTGAAGTGCAAGGGCGATATCCAGGATTATTCCGTTCCCAGCTACTAAGCGCTCCTGCTAAGTCAAAGTTATGTTAATGGCTTTGGTGAGCCTTTTGCTAAGGACAGAGCTGGGTCTTGTCAGCAGCAAGGCAAATATGCCAAAGGACGGCTGGCGCTTTCCTAGAGAAGCCCTGAGAGGCAGCCTGGCCGGGGAGAGCAGGTGATGGGCTCCACAGCCCGCGGGCAAAAATGTCCTTATCTTACTAGTTTCTGACTACCGTGTGAATTGAAGTATTTCTAGGTAATGTTCTATAACTGCTGTTTTTAAGATGAAAAAAGTAAATACCACGGCTTATAAATTATTGGCTTTAAGGGATTGTTTCCATCTTAGCTCTTGCACGTGGCTAAAAGACTGGTAAATGTGACAGACCCAGAAAAAAGGGGGCTGTGGTCAAAGCTCGAGGCCAAGAAACGGACCGGCCTAGGCTGGAGTCCACTCTCTACTTTCCCAAAAGCGTGCAGCTCAGCGGGTAAGCCCCAACCTGCAGCACATGGGATTTGTGGAGAGGACTGGCTCAAGAGGTGTGTTAGCGGGAGCGTGGCAGCAGCAGGGCTGCCCGTGGCCAGGTCCCGTGGCACGCCGGCTGCGGAGGAGCGGGCTCAGGCCTTGCAAACTAGGTAATAAAGCAAAACCGACCTCAGGATACCAGGAAAGCTCGGTCAAAAAGAGCAAGTACAAACCCTCGTGTACGTAGATTTATATGTGGACACACATCAACAGCTCCTTCACCTTCTGCTTAAGCTCCTTTCCAGAAACTTGTCCAAACAGTTTTCATTTTAAACATTTGAGGCTGAGCCCACAAGTGCTTAAGCAAGTAGCTAATGCTAAATATATAAGTAGTTCCACTTGTGCTCAGGCTTTGCCAGATCGAAGCCTTATTTCCTGAAAACAAGCTCAGCTGCAGGAGTTAGAGCTCACTGAACACTGCTCCTACGGCTTGTCCTGCCCCTTCAAAGCAGCCTCTCTGCTTCCCAAAGCTGTTTGAACTAGCAAAGACATCTATGGCTGTGGTTTGTCCACTGTAAATTATTTTAACCTCTACCATGTCTCTAGAGAGTAGGTCAGCAGTACGCTGCGAGGGCACCCAGCTTCACGCCCATATGTTTAATGGATTTGCGTTAGCACAGCAATTTGACCAAGGAGTTCCTCATTTAACACCAACGTGTCGTGTTCAAGACCAGAATGGTGGCAATGTTTCCTTAGGGGGGGGAAAGGCATGCAATGCTCTGTATGCAAAGTAGTGTATTTCTTTTTAATAAAGATGAGAAAAATCCACTTTCTAGCTTTCCGATGCATCCAGAAAGCAAGGTTAAACACAAGGACACACGTTTAGTCCCCGTTAGACAATGATAAACCTCTCCCAAAAGAACTAATGTTGTGCTCTGGAACCAGAGGGCATGGCTTTATCTGCTTTTATGAAGCTGCTTTTTTAATACTGTCAAAAATGGGCTCTTTAGTAATAAACTAAGTAAAGCTAAGTGGGCAGCTGCTGTTCTCACGTGCTGGTGCCGAGCAAGGCGTTTCGGGTGCCGGGGGAGAGCTAGCTGAAGGCTACTGAGTCACTCGAATGTTTCTTTTGCTGGGTGCTTGAGCTGATCCCCATTTTATAAGAGTAAACAAACACCCTTTGATTCCACCCTAGTTATACACGTTGATAGACTTATTTGGCAAGATCATAAAGAACGACAAAGATCACTTTAATTTCTTTTGGATAATTTCATCTGGACAGTGCTTATGATGTCAGAATTTTTTTTACATAGGCTGTGTTGGCTTCATGGTTAGAGCTCTCTATATGTAACGACAGTTGCAAAGAGAAGTTTGGGATTATTTTTTTTTCCAATTCACTTAAAGCTTTGGGGGTTGCCCAAGCATATGGTGTTGCAGCAAAATCCCGCTGTGTTTGCAGCATATGATTTTCATATGAAGTCCAGGTGTAAAAGCAGCTTTCTTGTTAGCACACACAGTTGGTCTAAGTCCAAAATGAAACTTGGGGAGCAAGGAAGGACATGTTCTTGCCATTCAAAATAGAAAGAAAAATTCACGTGTATGGTACAGAATTGCGAGTGCAAAGGTGTGCTGCCAGGGGACGTGGTTACAGAAGACAAGCAGACAATCGGCTCCTGTATCTGTGTATTTACTTTTTAAACACTGCAGTTGGCTTTTCTGACTTCAATGACAGGCTGATTAAAGTATTTTGTTAGTCTATTTTGAGAAAGTAGCAAGTCACTTGGTGTATAATTTCAACCCTTTACAGACTCAGCTAGATTTTTCAGGAGCATAAAAAGAAATTAGATTCCGAATTTTCATTGAGTTGAATAACAGATGAGAATGCACTTATCACTGAACCTGGGAACTTCTGCCTTTGAAAGCTCTGTCTGTGACAGATCTGGCTGTGTGCTTTTAAGGGACCACTCCTGATTTCTCCAGCAGAGCAGAGAGAGTTACTGCGTGTGCAGTGTCCCAGCAACGATCCTGAAAAGTCTCCGTTGAAATCTGTAACATATTCATAAATTATCTGCCTTCCTCCTTAATGCTGAAAAACAGGATTGACTTTTGCTGTAAAATCACTGGGTGAGGATGGGGGAGAACAGAGTGATAAGACTTTATCGGTAGAAGAGTGTGAGTGTGACACTGTAGTATCTATAGCGTTTGGAGATGTTAAGCCTATTTCCAGCTATCACTTTTCTGTGGACTCTGGGCTGGGGCTTGATGGTTTTCCTATACATGAACCACAATTGAACGAATGTGCTGTGATTGTGGATGCAACTCCTGCACTTCCAGGTATTTCCTTTAGGAGGCAAACTGGAAACTAAAAACAAGGACAAGTGTTTGAAAACAGGTTAAGCTTGTCTTGGCTGTTAACTTGCCTTACTGTTTTAGCTTTAAGAGTTAATCTTAACTTGTAAATCAGGTTGAATTTGAATCTTTATACAAAGATGGCAAAAGTCATCTGTCATTGGGGTGGGGACTCATAACTTCCATGGTGAAGCTCCTGCTTTGTATCTGTGTTTGGGTTTCTGCATTCATAGATCATTCAGAAAGGGCAGGTTAAAACAAACCTGTGCACCTCTCTGGCTGCAGGTCTCACGTCAGTAAAATCTCCCTTTCACGTAAATGACTCTCTGCAGGTTGCCTGTTTCAAAACTGCTTTGCACAGTCTTTATGCAAAATACTGCTTACTGGAAACATTCAGACTGTTGCATAAAAACCAATAGTGAGTGATATAGATGCATATCTGGAGAATGAAAGTATGTCCTTAGATAACTACATTCCGAGTATTTGTAATAATCTTGAGCTGGGGCTGTGGGGCAGCCAGGCAGTTCCAGATAGTCCCAGGTCCTGGGAACCCTCCAGAAGATCCAGGATACTTTGGTTTCCTTGCACAAGTCTCCAAGCGAACATCAGGAATCTTAACTTTAAGACAAAGCAGCATGACTTTTTAGTTAAGGACTGGTTAGGAAAATTCCCTGCCTGATTCTAAACACACCCTTTCTGGAGATGTTTCAGAGCCAGGTCTTCCCACCCATTCCCAAACCTCACAGGTTTATACCGTAAGCACGCTGTGGACCATGGAGCCCAGACCAGGCATAAAAAGTTAACTACTCATTTCTACTGCCACAAAAGAAATTAAAATGATTCCTAGCTGTTTTCTGAAATTGAAAGGACTTTTGTGCCAATTAACACCAGCCTTCTACATCGCTCAGTTGTGTCTTTTCACACATAGCAAAGTTTCTTCCTTTCTCTTTGACTGGATTGTGCTACCTGCAAATCAGCCAGCAGCACAGAAATACCAGTACAGGGATGTGTACACAGCTAATACCGAAATGACTGCAGACAGGTTACCAATCTGTTAAAACATTTGAGTATATCCTTAACCTGAAATATGTCTATGGATTATTTTTATTATTATTAACGACTATTATTTGTATCTTTGGCAAATTCAGGAAGAACATGCTTAAGAAATCCTATTCAAAGGAAAGGGTACTGAATGCTTAAGGCTTCCCCTGGCTGGGAACTGGGGACTCGCTGATTGTGTCCGACACTCACCATCGATGCCTTCCACGGAGAGCTGCAGGCCAAGGTTGTGTTGGGGATTCACCACCCAGTGATTACTGGTTGCAGTAATGTCAAACACCAGCCACCCTTCTTCTGCAGCCCAGATTGTTCGAGAGTCAAGCAGGAACAAATCTGAATCCCTGAAAAAAAAAGAAGCGTAATTCTCAGTTTCCCGGGCTTTCCGCTGGAGCCCACAGACACTCACAGCCGCGCTTTAAGCAGCACACTCGGTCGGCCTTCCAGCAGCAGGCAGGTTATGCCGGCGCAGGGCTGGCGTGCTTTCCCCGCTAATCGCCTTCAGATGAACCGCTTTTCTTCTCTTTAAAATAGCGAGGATGGGTTGAAGCAGAGTTGAGGTGGTTTTGGGTTACTTTGCCGTTACAGTTAACCTTAGAGCTGCTGATGCAACTTCAGAAAAAAAACACTTGCCAGGCACAGATTTGCAAAATTACTGTTTGCATACGTGAACTTGGTAATTGGGCAGACAATGCAGCTCATTATCCTTTCCATACATAATTTCCTGACGTTTATGCATAATTGTAGCATTGGTGCAAGTCAGCTGGAACACTGGTATGCATTCATTAACATATGTAATGGGTTTTTTAATTTGTTCGTCTGAGGTTACAGGTAATTGATTGAGGCAATAACCTTCTGCACAGTCACAGCTCTGGATTACTTTGGGTGGCAATTTTCTTTCTATTTGTTGCTTGAATTTTTTAAAGGCCACTGCTGGGTTATCCTGGTTGAAGAACTAATACCAGAAAATGAGAAGGATCAGCAATAGAGAGGATTTCATGCATTTGAAAAGGGTGAAATCATTATGGATTTACAAAACATTTCCCGGCAAATTTCTGTAAAGTGAAAATTTGAAAAAACACAGGTTCTGTAAAGGAAGGAATCTTCTCTTATCAGAAATTAAGACAGACATAAAACTTGGATGGAAATAGTGAAAAAAATTGGATAGTGGTGCAGTTCCTTTATAAAAACATCTTTACAAGAACAAAGAAACACAGTGGAAGTGTCTAGACAAGTCCCATAAGAGCTGGTTTTGTACTTACAGTGCACAAACATGATAACTTGTTTAAGTGTAATTACATCCTTTTGAATGAAGAAATATCCTTGGAAAAGCCTTTAATCATGTCCTCAAAGCTTAAAGAAGGCCTTATTAATTTTGTCACTATTGATTTGTCAGTGCAAATATATGTATTTAACTTAGTTTACACAGTGCCTCTTGTTTGCTTGAAATATCAAGTGATCAAAAATGAAGCTGAGAAGTGCTGTCGGCACAGAGGCTTTTGTCTCGTAGCTTTTAGTGATTCTTTTCCCTGTGAGATACCAGGAAATTAGAGGCTTTTGTCCCACACAGCTGATTCAAAACAGAAATGGAGTTTTACTGCAGTGTTTTTACTATCTAGCTTTCCTTTCAACCTTTGTGGGCCAGGGCGTGTAGGAGATGATGGCTTTCCTCTGTGAGCTAATGGATGTCACCGCCTCTGGCTCTGTGCTGGCTTACATGAAGCTAAACTTCTGAAATGTGCTCACGTGCTCTACGGGAACTAATCGCCCAGCGTGCGTAAGAGGATTCTGTCGTTTCCTCACCAATGCACGATACCTTTGGACACCACGCAGCTGAATATGTGGATCCGGCCAATGCTGCTGAGGGTGCGATCAGTGCTGTATGTGGCAGCCTGAGGGACAGCAGTGGCTTTCTGTGTCAGCTCAATTCAGAAAGAAGAGGCAAGGTCTGATGCTTGCAAGACATGTTTTGCAGGCGCGGGAGAATGCCAGGAGGATGGGACCAGTCTTTTTTCAGTGGTGCCCAGTGATGGGACAAGAGGTGATGGGCACAAACTTGAACACAGGAAGTTCCATCTAAACATGAGGAGGAGCTTCTTTCCTTTGAGGGTGGCAGAGCACTGGCACAGGCTGCCCAGAGAGGTTGAGGGGTCTCTGACACCGGAGACGTTCCAAACCCTCCTGGACGCCGTCCTGTACAACTGCTGTAGGTGACCCTGCTCTGGCAGGGCGTTGGACTAGATGATCTCCAGAGGTCCTTTCCAACCCTGACCATTCTGTGATTATAACAATTGTAATTCCTCCCTTTTCCCAGCGTGTTCCTGCTATGGAGGAAGGCACGGGAGAGGGAGTTTTGCTTTCTTTTAAACAAAGCTTTGGTTTGTGGAAGAAGCCCTACATGAGGATTGAACTTGTTGCAACACTTTGTCGCTAATGCATAGGGGATCCTATGGGGAGTATTTCGGCGGATGTTTGGACAGCCAAAGTGGGTGGCTCAGGAAGGGGCTGTGGTGCAGCAATGGAGAGCCTCAACCCAGGTGTTGGGAGCTGCTCTCCGGAGCTCCCAAAGTCAGCTTTGCTGGGTGCACCTAGGGCAACTGGAGAGAAACAGTACAGATAACGCCCTCCCTCCACATGAGTTACAGGAATGTCAGATGCTTGAACCCTAACCGGGGGACAAATTTCCTGGGGTTTCATCCCCACCCAGAAGCAATGGCCCTGTTGTGTCCCACTGTGCATGACGCAGCTGCATGGACACCTCCCGCCCTTCCCTGTTTACAACACACTGAACAAAACGCATCCCAGAGGAGCCGGGGACGAGGGAGTAGTACGGATTGGCCCGTTCCAATGGCTGACTCCAAGTTTCCAGAAGTAAAGGGTTTGTATATTCACATACTGCATCATTTAAGCATGGCCCCTGACTGGAACTCATGATTCACACAAAGTTCAGTTAATAGGGACTTGGCTTGCTTGGGTTTTCTCCCTTGTAGTTTGCAGGTTGAAGATAATAACAATAATGATAACATTTTTTGTTTTTAGCTACTGCTCGACTGCAGTATTATTACTCAGAAAAACCAGCCTTTAAGCTTCCCATGCTGACGTGATGCAATCAGGGTAACCAGACAACATGAGGCATCAAGTACCAGGGTGAGTCAGTCTGGGAAATTGTATAATGCGTTTGTTTTCCTGTAGTTACAGCAATGTGCAAACAATAGGCCTGGAGGGGAAGCCCGAAGTGAGAGATCAAAGGGACCCACTAAAGGGAAATGTCCTTCCCACACACACTTGGAACATTTGGACCCAAAAAGGCCCCATGTCAGATGCTCTGGAGAAGTTCAAGCACTCCTGGATTAGCACTTTCCACTCTGGCCCACCAGCAGCAGCCAGGGATGGGATGCAAAACCTGACTGGTGTTGCAGGCAGAGGCTCCTGAGATTGTAGTGCCTGTTCTGATGAAAAGAAACATCTTGTTCTTCTTTTAAAAAGAACAACTCCCTTTAAGTTAAATGCCCTGCTCTCCAAAGACTCATGGCAAACAGCGTTAAATCACTAGCTAACAGACAGCAAGCCCTTTAGACATCATAGTTGGACAAGACATAATAAACATGGCAAAGGAATGTTATTCTGCTTAGACTTAAACAAAATTTGCTCTGAGGGCTCCTGTCTAATGAGTTGTCATATGAGATAGTGCTAGTTAAGTCTAACTAATGTGGCTGGTTTGGGTTTTAGGTTTGAGATAAAGATCTAAGCACAAAGGAAAAAGGTTTCTCGTGCACATCTTGCCCTCTGCTACCTTACCTACCAACTGTACACACATTTAGAGCATTCTTGGAGCAATGTGAATAATGGCTCTGCAACCAGGAGGCAGAAAAGCATGTTGGTTCCTTGGCCCTGCGTTCAGTCCCTTCATTTGAGAACTTCAGAATGTGTGAGAAACTGTACTGAACCTCCTCCGAGACCAAGAGATAGGAAAAGGCACATGATCCTCATTTTACAGAAAATTAAGCTGGGACATGGAAAAGTTAATGTCTAGATTAGAGTTACATAAATGATGAAGTCTGGATCCAGACCACAAGTATGTTTTGTTGAGACCACATCAAAATGGCTCAGCGTTCAAAGTACTTACATCAGCGGGAGTGTAAAAGCTTTTAGCAATGATAAAACTCGAGGCTTTCGGCTCAGTTTTCTCAAGCACGTGGCTGTCGATGGAGCCCAAGATGAGGACAGGAGGTTGGCACTTGTCTGCTGATTGCTTTGGTAGTGTCTGGTGCTGGATGCCAGAAAGGAGAGGCACCTCCTGTTACAATCACTCCCAAAAATTTGTCTACAGGTCATATAACTGCTGTGTGGTCTATGAAATTTCCTTAGTAAACTTGGTGTTTTCCTGAATCAAGGGTGAATAACAAGTATTGCAAAGTGAGGGTGGCCGGGGAGGATGCTTGTGAGATCGTGTCTGGAAAGCAGCTGGAGATATGGAGGTGGAAGGGCTGACGCTGCCAAAGGGCTATGGAGGGCTGGTGGCACGAGTGGGGTAAGAAAAGGAATCACAGGTGATTAGCAGAAAAGAAAAGGACTGAAAGAAGAAATTAAGGGAGCCAAAGTACAGAAAAGGCAAATAAAAGTACCCTGAAAGAAACAGTGAGGAAGAGAATTGCCACTTTGCAACACGGTAGTTCTAAGATAAGAAAAAAGATTAACAACCATGAAGCTTCACAGAATATAGTATGTATGGGCTCTTTGCCTTTCCTGGGGTATTTTTTCAGCCTCTGGGATGCACTTTGGTTTGTAGCCATAAGTGGTAGCAGCATATCCACAAATCAGAAGTGCAGCATCTCTCCTGATCTCCTGCCTTGATGAGTTGGGGCGTGAGGAAGAAGACGGACTAGAAAGAGAGACTCTGAAAATATGAGAGCTGGCAATTCTGCAACAGCAAGAGAGAACAGGAGATGAAACTCTGCAATTGTGTACTATAATGGTATATAAGGTCTATACAGCTGTAGGGTGGCCCTCTCACCAAACAGCACCTGCTTTTGTGTCTGTTTTCTTCACGCGCTTTCCCCATGGTCCTCGTCAGCTCTGCCATTTGAAGCTGCTGGTTGACAAGTGGCAGTAAACACTAATGAGCACTTCCAAATGGGATACAAATCAATGGGAAGAAGGACAGGCAGGGGAAGAGAAGGTGACTCTCGGCAACTTTCATTACACTGCAGGACGAGCTGGTTTCTGTGAGGTGCTGGTGCTCTGGGTGGGGGCAGACTGGGAGCCCTGCCTCACCCGGCCGTGTCTTGGCAGCAGCCAGCCCGGGGCCACTGCCAGCGGGTCCTGCCGTCCCCTGCCTGCCTCC